TGGCATGTGGTGCTGGGGGATCGAACCGCGGTCCCTGTGCTTTGCCAAGCTTGTTCCAAGTAGGTGCTTTAGACCACTGAGCCATCTCGCCAGCCCCGGCTTTACTTTATATACCTCATTTTTATAGTGTTCTGCTGGATGGTTAAGACCAAGATAAAGCAAGACCTGCATAACAAGAAATGTAACTTTTAATTTCTTTTTTTTTTTTTCTTTTTTTTTTGGCGGAACCAGGGATTGAACTCAGGACCTTGTGCTTGTCAGGAAAGCACTTATTCTACTGAGCCATCTTCCTGGCCACCTCAAGAAATGTAACTTTTGTATCTGATAAGGTCAATTAAGTCCCCTCAGGATTTATCCTGTAGCCCTGTACCACACTTTGTAGATCCTTTGTCAGTGTCAGCCATGAGGATGAGTCACGGCCATTGCTTGACCAATTTGCTCTCTGTGAAAGCCTGAGAGAATGTTTTCTCTCCATGTGACTCTCCCCAGGCACACTAAACATCATCAGTCACATTTCTCCATGGCTCCATAGTCTCCTTGATCCGAAAATTGGGGGCACAACTGAGTTACATGATGTTACAGTATAGGTTCTCCTATGTCCCGAGTCTTCACTGACCTTAAGTGTGTTCTCTTAAAGCCTTTTGTTTTTGGCATTGCTAGGATCCAACCTAGCTTTGTGCATGCTAGGCTCATGCTCTGCTGCTGACCTGCAACTTTCGCCCAAAGTTGTTTTTTTTTTTTTGTTTTGTTTTTGTTTTTGTTTTTGCAGAGCTGGACATTGAACTCAGGCCCTTGCACTTGCCAGGCAAGAGCTTATTCTACTGAGCCATCTCTCCCGCCCCAAAGTTTATTTATGTTTTTTTTTTTCAGTTTATTTATGTTTTTATTTTTATTTTTTGCAGTACTGGGGATTGAACTCAGGACCTTGCACTTGCCAGGCAAGTGCTATTCTACTAAGCTGTCTCCCTGGTCCCTGGTGTCTCTTCAAATCCTTGTGATATGTGTTCCCCTGGACTAGGCTAAACAAGACTCCCAGGAGTGAGTTCCTTCTGGGTTTCCTGGCTTACAAGGGATCCTCTAGTTCTTCAGTCAAATGCTAAGCTAGGTGCCCCTAGCTTACAGATTTTACAGATGTAATCAAAAGTCATTAATTGCTTAGCCTTAAATTAATCAAAAGGAAAATTTTTATGCATGACATTTTTTAATCATAAGACTTTATTTTGTTTTTTAATTTTGAGACATAGTCTTGCTAAGTTGCCCAGGCTGGTCTTGAACTTGCAATCCTTCTGCCTCAGCCTCCCAGAGTGCTAGAATTACAGATGCCTGCCACAGTGCCTGGTAGAGGGAGGGGTGGCCTCCAAGCCATGCTAGGCTGGGATTGCTTTCTTTCCAGGGCTGACCCTGACAGATACAGCATTCCCCCTATACTCCTGGTTTAGCCCAGCAAAAAGTTGTTCTTGTTTAAAAGGCTTCTCCTTTTGCTCCCTCTCTGGGTGTATCTCAGTTGATTTGACTCTTCCCTCTCATTTCTTAGTTATTGGGGCTCCCTTCCAGCTCATGTACCTGCAGCTGGTGAGGTCTGGCCACACCCGGTTTATTCTCATGATTGGCCAGGGTGTTTTTCCTAATTATGCATCAATGTTTTATCTCTTTTTATACAGTAGTCCTTTAATGACTTGCCAGAATTTTTAGGGAAAACATTTAAAAACCTCAGCTTTTAAAAATGTATGAGTGTTTTCTCTTCTCATTCAGTGTATCAGTTATACTTCTTTTGGAAATGTTTCTCGTGGTTGCTGTGCAGTTTTCATTATTCCAGCTAAGCCAGTTACCCTGTGAAAGAGCCCTGTCCCCATCACAAGTACCTACACAAGTAACTTACACCTGATTTATCCTTCGTTATGTCATCACTGTGACTTGACTTATTTATTCATAAGCTATAACCACTGATCTCTTGCTATTAATATTTCAAGCAAGCTCTCTGTTGACTTTTAAGAATTCATATTAAAAAATATTTTTTCTTTATTCATTCCATCTCTGACATACTCTCTTTTTCTATGCAGGTATCCATTTATGACCTATACTTTATACTTCCTGTCTGAAGAACTTTTGCTAACATTTTGTAGATCAGGTCTGCTGATGACAGAGTCCCCCAGTTGTGTTTGTCCAACAGAATGCCTCTCTTCTTCAGTTCTGAAGGGTAATTACAGGGTCAGAGGCCGGGGTTGGAGGTGTCTGCCTTTCAACACAGCTTGTGCTTCTTAGCTCTCTGTGTGCCTTGTTGCTTTTGCTTGCAGCAGGGCCTGAAGTTCCTAGGAAGAGGCCCTGAGCTAGCTGGGTGTCCGTGGGCAATTTGTTTGTCTCGCTAGGTGTGTCATGTATTACTGTCCACTGCAACTGTAGGTGTCAGGGCTAAAGCTTCCCTGATGTTGTGTTTTTGCCTCCCCTGTTGTCTGTGGTTTCTGGAGACTTCCCTTTCCTTACCCTGGTGCTGGAGATTGAACCAGGCCGAGCCCTCTCACTAAGCTACACCCCCTCCCCTAGCTACTCTGGAGTCCTGCGTTGGCAGGAAGGCTAGCAGGGGCTGAGGTCACCCTCCCAGGCCTGGATTAAAGGGCAGCCTAGTGGAGAGTTTCAGGTTGGGGGATGTCAGAGTGGCAGCTTGTCCCCTTGATGGAAGCACTGCGAGTGGTATGTACTCTCTCATGAGGGTTCCCCAGGCAAACTCAGCGCACCAAGGACAGGAACCGACTGGTCCTTGAGAGCAGGGGCAGGGCTGGCCCTCAGCGAGTGCCCAAAGTGCCTGCAGGGTCTCGTTGGTCAGCCCAGTGCCTGTTCACTGTGGGGAGTCAGCAAGTCCCCGGGACTGGACAAGGCAGGCAGGAGCAAGGCAGCATGAAAGACATGGGGGTCACTTCAGGCCTCCAGGGTGGCGATGACTTTGGGGGGTGTCCTCATTCTTCCTCTGTCCTCTATTTCTGCAGTCTGGGTGCGAGCAAGATGGAGACTGACCTTTCTGGCTTTGATATCGATGCCCCCCGCTGGGATCAAGGCACTTTTCTGGGACGTGTGAGGCACTTCTTTAACATTACAGATCCCCGCACTGTCTTGGTTCCAGAGCGCAAGCTGGACTGGGCCAAGGCAACAGTGGAGAAGAGCAGGTAAGCGGTCGAAGGAGGGCATAGAGGCACTGGGATGACTTTGAGGGGACCCCTGGGGGAAGCAGAAGTTGAGTGAAGGAACTCAGTAGGGGAAGAACCAGGAGATACCTGCCTGTTGTCCTTGCCTGGTAGGATGGGGGTCGTGCCCCCAGGCACACAGGTGGAGCAGCTGCTGTACGCTAAGAAGTTGTATGACTCGGCCTTCCACCCCGACACCGGAGAGAAGATGAATGTCATTGGACGGATGTCCTTCCAGGTCCCTGGTGGCATGATCATCACAGGTTTCATGCTGCACTTCTACAGGTGGGCCTTAGGAGCGGGGCGGGTATGCACCACCTGGCTGCGCTAGGCAGGGCGCCGGCTTGCTTCCCTCCTGGTGCCAGGGCTACAACCTAGAGCCTCATGCGTGCTAGAGCCTCAGCCCCATGGTGCCAATTTCTGATGACAGAGTCCTCTTGCTTGATACCTACTAGAGAGTAGGCATTCTGCTGATGTGTTTTTGCACATATGCTTCCTTTAACTCTCAGCAACCCTACCCATAGACAATGTACTATCACCATTGTACACCCTAGATGGAATCCTATAGAGACTAAGTAATTGTCCCATTGTACACAGTAAGGACGTATGGGTACCTGGATTTTAACAAGGGCAGTAGAACTCAACACATAAGCTATTCTGAGTCTATGTTGCTTTTCATAAGGGGTGGGGGGAGTGATTTGAGACACTGTGTAATTAAGGCTGAACTAGAATTCACTGTGTAGCCCAGGCTAGCCTTGAACTTGCAAAGATACTCCTGCTTCAGCTTCCCACGTGCTACAGTGCTAAGTGTGCGCCACCAAGCCTGGCTTTAGCTTTCTTTTTTTTTTCCATTTACGTATTTGGTACAGGGTCTCACTATGCAGCTCGGACTCCTAGTGATCCTCCTATTATCAGCCTCCCCAGTGCTGGGATTATAGGCATGTGCCACCACGCCCAGACTCCTTTGCCCACTCAGCGTGGCATGCAGGACTGGGGATTGAATTGTTGTCCTTGTGCTTGCTAATGCAGGTGTTTAGTCCTTTGAGCTATCTCACCGCCAGCTTTAAGTTTCTTTAAAAAGTGTTTGCTCTAGGGTGGGTGTGGTGGCACACACCTGTGACCCCAGCACCCAGGAGACTGGTGTAGGAGGATCTGCTATGAATTCAAGACCTACCTGGGCTACATAGTGAGTTCAAGGTCAGCCTGAGCTACACAGTGAGACACAATCTCAACCCTCCCTCCACCAAAATAAATAGAGACAGAGGCAGAGAGGTCGGGTTCTACTTAGTCTTAAAGTACATGCCAGTAATCAGTCCTAGCACTTGGGAAGATGAGGCAGGAGGATCTTGAATTCAAGGCTAGTTTGAGCTACACAGTGAGACCCTATTGCAAAAAAAATAAATACTTCCAAATTTCATAATAAAGCCAGGTGTGGTGGTGCATTTCTATAATCCTAGTACTCTGGAGGCTGAGGCAGAAGGATTGTTGAGAGTTCTGTATCAGTCTGGGCTACAAAGTGAGTTCAAGGCCAGCCTGAACTACATGGCAAAACCCTGTCTCAAAAAGACAACAGAGGGCTGGAGAGATGGCTCAGTGGTCTAAAGCAGCTACTTGGAACAAGCTTGGCAAAGCACAAGGACCGCGGTTCGATCCTTCAGCACCACATGCCAGCCAGCCTCGCCCCCTGGTGGGCTGAGCTGGCCACACACACACACAATAAATATGTAATAAATAAATAAATAGGGGCTGGTGAGATGGCTCAGTGGTCTAAAGCACCTACTTAGAACAAGCTTAGCAAAGCACCTGGTTCAATCCCCCAGCACCACATGCCAGCCAGCCCCGCCCCCTGGTGGGCTGAGCTGGCCACACACACACACACACACACACACATAAATAAAATTTTAAAAAAAATAAATAATTAATTAAAAAAAGATGGAGACCTTTAAAAAAAAAAAAAAAGACAACAGTAACAAAAAAAGCCCATCTCAAAAACAAAGCAAAATCACAGTATTATTATACTGTAATGTGTAATATCTCAGTTTAAAATAGAAAGACCTTTTTTTTTTTGGATAGTTAAGAGGAAATAAACTTCCTGTGTAGCCTGGACACCCCCTCTCCCCCAGCTGTCCCCTGTTTGGTTGAGGAATCAGGAAGTAAGTGCTAGGTTGAGGGAAGATACTAGGGTAGTGGAGAGGCTCTCAGAGGGGCTGAGTATCTCAGTAGGGCAGGGAAGGCTCTGGAAGTTTCCGAGGAGGAAGTGATATCAGCAGAGCAGCAGGATTTTGCTCTGTGTAGATGGAGACTGGTGCCTATTCTGGGCAGAGGGCTCAGGCTACCTGTCCGTAAGCTGGGTGCACAGAGCAGAGTGGGGCAGCCCAGGACAGTGCACATGTGTGTGGAGAGTGGTGAGCCCCACAGCCTCTCCCGACCTCCTTTCCCACAGGACCATGCCAGCAGTGATCTTCTGGCAGTGGGTGAACCAGTCCTTCAACGCCTTGGTCAACTACACCAACAGGAATGCAGCTTCCCCCATATCGGTCAGGTAGGAGACCTGGTCCCTGGCTGTGACACCTTCCTGGTGGTGCTACACTGAGCAGGTGGGCGAGTCACCCTTTTGCAGGGCTTGGGAGTATTTTCTCAGCCTGACTAGGGGAGTATCTTCTTCGCAGACCAGTTCAAACTGTATTCATGCATGTACTCAACCTGTTTCTTGTGGGTGTGTATTATGTGGCAGGTGGCATTCTAGGACCTGGCCATGCCTTGATGAGAAGACCTTATATCCCTGGGGGAGCTGGTCTCTTTTTGGGAGACCAGCACATAATCTCAGAGTTGGGCAGCTGCCACTAAGAATGTGAGCAGGCACAAGGAGAGCCCTCAGCGGAGGTGACTGAGACAGACTAGGCAGGAAGTACTTTCTGTAGAGGTGATGTTTCAGCTGAGTTCTGAGGAGTACAGATTTGGATTTGCTGTGCCAGCTCCCAGGGAGCTGTTCATAGGGTGTGAGGGGCATTGAAGTGCACCTTTTGGCTGCCAGATAGACTTGGGCGTGTTTAAAGTACCAAACTGGCCGAAGGGGCTGCCCTGCTGGGTGACAGTCAGGGCCCAAGACAAGGTTGGGGCAGAGCTCGTGTGTCTCCCTGCAGTTCAGCCTTCACCCGTCTCCTCCCCTAGGCAGATGGCCTTCTCTTACCTCACAGCCACCACCACCGCTGTGGCCACTGCTGTGAGCATGAACACGTGGACAAAGGTGTGGTCTGGGGCAGCGGTGGGCATGGTGGCCACTGGGGGGCAGCAGAGGCCTGTGGGAAAATAAACAGCAGGGCTGTCCCAGGTTTTTTCCTTCTTGGGTTTTAGTTGGAGTTTGGGGTCCTCTGACTGATTGGATGTGTGTGAGGTTTCTTTTCCTTTCTGATCTATGGTTTGGAAGCCCCATGCACTCCCATCTGAATGCTCTTCCTGTCCCTGTGCCCACAGAGAGCCCCTCCCTTGGTATGCCGATGGGTGCCCTTTGCCGCCGTGGCCGCTGCCAACTGTGTCAACATCCCCATGATGCGACAGCAGTGAGTAGAGCCTCCCTTCTCTCTGCATTCAGCTCAGCTTGGGAAGGGAGGGACCCCAGCTGTGGACAGGGCCCCTGGGCTGAGCCTTGGGAGGGTCCCTGAAGGCCAGCCGCACCTTTGGGATGCCTGGGAGTGGTAGAGGACAAGGTGGGTCAGCACCCGGTGCTGTGGGCATGCTTTCCTGCATGCTGAGGGACAGAGCATGTAGACCCACTGGCTTTTATATTAAAATGTTTTTTTTTTTTTTTT